TAGTCACCTGTGTTCTCAGGGCAGCCTCTGAACACACTGCTGGGACAGAGTAGACTAATATAATCCAGTTCAGTGCAGTTAATCAACAACAACAATTTTTATTGATTAGCCAGTTGGCCTTATCAAAAACAGACAGTGCAAACAACATATAACATACGCCTGGTCCTATTAAAATGGAATACAAATATATAGGAATTTATCAACTTAAAACCAATGTAGCTTAACTGTAGATATATGCATCAACTATCCTCGTCTCCCCTACACTGCACCCCAATCTGATCTATGTACTCTGATCTCCTTTTAGCAGCTTTAAATGCAGTTAATCATCTGAAATTGCATTATACGGCAATGTAGATGGGGTGTGGGAAATCAAATACCAAAGATGGCTGGAAACTCACAGTCTTGTCTTTTGGCATCATCTTTAACTAGACCAAACTCCAACATGCCTCCCAAAATGTCATGGGATCATTTCAAATTCCTAAATACTACTCCCTAAACAAATATTTGCAGAATGGTCTGGAACCTGAAAACAGCTTGGTAAAGTTCAGGTTCCATCCTAGCCTTGCTGACTGTAGGGTACTGGACGTGGTAGTCCAAAACAAATGAAAGTCATATTTATTAACTCTGCTAAAGACCAGGAAGTGAATCTCCAGTCATTTTTGGCTTACCATGTTTGAATGGGTTTTGGCATTGACAGTGATAATCAAATGTATTCCCTAAGTATTTCCATGCAAGCAAATATATTGCTTTGTAGACCACACCTGAAAAAATAACTCTAAATATTTTACTATAATTGGTATAATGATTTGGAGATGGTACCTAATATCTTCCCATAAGGTACTGTCAGTGAATTGCGAAGGATATTCCTTCAGTCCTGCTTATGCAAATACCCCAGCATATCTGCAAAGATCAAGATGTTTTTGGGATGTCACAACTTCCTTATTTCCTTCTCTTATAGATGTTCTGCCTCAAATGAGTAAGTCCTTGTCAACAGCTTCAAAACTAGCTATTATCATTATCCCTATTGTGATGTTGGTAACAGGACTTGTGACTTTGCTGGTGTTCCTCTTTCTCCCTAACAACACCAAGGCTGGTAAGTGTTATGTTTTCTCATATTTGTGTTATAAAACTAATTCTACAATTGTATCCACTGTATGCGTTCTGTAACCACAGGGGACACTTCCTGAACTTACCCATGGATAATAGCGAACCCTATTGAAATGACAGTTCCTGCTAGAAAATACCTTAGATGTAACTTGTCTAGAAATATGCTAGATCCTCCAGCAAAACTCTATTGTAACCAGAAGCATACTGTAGAATCACCTGGAAGACCTCAGAAATACCATATTTACTTTAGTATAATGTACCATCAAATGTAATGCACACCTCGGTTTTGAAGGAATGTATTACCTAAAAGAAAAAGAATTCACTGTCAAATATCATGTGAGGCAGTGATGGCCACAAAAAGCTGTTGGGGATCTATGCCCTTCCGCCCGACCTCCTTGCCACCAGCCTTTTCTCCTTCCTCTGTCCCCAGCTGGGATCTCTTGTCCAACCATGCATATGGAAGTCTAATGCGCCATCAAATCTAATACACACCTCAATTTTAGCCATGTAATTTAGCCAAAAAAAATGAGCTTTAGACTCAAGTAAATATTGTATTTTGTTGGATATGAATAGGTGAAACTTCTGGTATTGGTTCTATGGATTTGGGGGTTATATTGTATATGTCAGTGGAGCCTATCTTCTCCATAGACATGTCTTGTTGTATTGCCCTCTAACACTATGCTACAAATGTGTGGTTGTAGGTTTTTTCGGGCTATATGGCCATGTTCTAGAGGCATTTCTCCTGACGTTTTGCCTGCATCTATGGCAAGCATCCTCAGAGGTAGTGAGGTCTGTTGGAACTAGGAAAAAGGGTTTATATATCTGTGGAATGACCAGGGTGAGACAAAGGACTCTTGTCTGCTGGAGCTAGCTAGTTCCAACAGACCTCACCACCTCTGAGGATGCTTGCCATAGATGCAGGCGAAACGTCAAGAGAGAATGCCTCTAGAACATGGCCATACAGCCCGGAAAAACCTACAACAACCCAGTGATTCCGGCCATGAAAGCCTTCGACAATACTAGGCTACAAAATTTGTTTTAAAATGTTCCTTGTTTGAAAGTGTTATTTCCAGTTTAGTTGTATTGTACTTACTTTGAAAGTAATGTATATACTCGAAGATAAGACGAGTTTTTCACCCTTTTTGGAGCTGAAAAAGCTTCCCTCTGGCTTATAATGGGTTCAAAACTGGGCAGCAGAGCCTGGAGGCCATTGCTTGCAATATATTATATACTAGCCGTCCCCTGCCACGCGTTGCTGTGACCAAGTCTGTGTATATGTGGGGTTTTTGTGTGTATATGTGTGTATAAAGGAGCCCCTGGTGGCGCAGTGGGTTAAAGCACTGAGCTGCTGAGCTTGTTGATCGAAAGGTCGCAGGTTCAATTCCGGGGAGCGGCGTGAGCTTCCGCTGTCAGCCCTAGCTTCTGCCAACCTAGCAGTTCGAAAACATGCAAATGTGAGTAGATCAATAGGTACCGCTCCGGTGGGAAGGTAACGGCGCTCCATGCAGTCATGCCGGCCACATGACCTTGGAGGTGTCTACGGACAACGCTGGCTCTTTGGCTTAGAAATGGAGATGAGCACCACACCCCAGAGTCAGACATGACTGGACTTAATGTCAGGGGTCTACCTTTACCTTTACCTATGTGTGTATAAATTTGTGTATATGTGTGTTTACGTATATATAGATGATTTTGAACATGTGTTGCAATGTATTTTTGGGGTTGTTTTTTTTGGCTTTTTAAGTCTCTTCTGCTGTGTTTTTCAGTGTTTTTATGAGTGATGGTCACTCATTGGCCTGATTCGTGTATTGTGTCTAAATTTGGTGTCAATTTGTCCAGTGGTTTTTGAGTTATATTAATCCCACAAGCGAACATTACATTTTTATTTATATAGACTAGCCGTCCCCTGCCACGCGATGCTGTGGCCCAGTCTGTATATATGTTTGTATGTGTATATGTGTGTGTGTGTGTATATATATGTGTGTGTGTATATATGTGTGTGTTTGTGTTTATATGTGGTTTTCCACATGTGTTGCAATGTATTTTTTTTTTTTTTGGCTTTTTAAGTCTCTTCTGCTGTTTTTTTCAGTGTTTTATGAGTGATGGTCACTCGTTGGCCTGATATGTGTATTGTGTCCAAATTTGGTGTCAATTCATCCAGTGGTTTTTGAGTTATGTTAACAGTGGTTCTCAACCTGGGGTCCCCTGATGTTTTTGGCCTACAACTCCCAGAAATCCCAGCCAGTTTACCAGCTGTTAGGATTTCTGGGAGTTGAAGGCCAAAAACATCTGGGGACCCCAGGTTGAGAACCACTGTGCTAATCCCACAAATGGACATTACATTTTTATTTATATAGATTTACAACATTTATATGCCACCCTTCTCACCCCGAAGGTGACTCAGAGCAGCTTTCAAGTAATATGTAAATACAATATATTATATTATTACCATAACATAATATTAGTATTATATATTACTATATTGTACTACACCATTATACTGTAATATTATTAGTAATATTACACGTAATATAAAATATATAATTATAATATTGTATTATTATTTTTATTAGTATTGTATCACATTATATATTAGTATATTAGTATATTGTATCACATTATAATATTATAAATATTACATATATACACATATTATATTATATTAAGTCTCTTCCATTGTATTTTTCAGTGTTTTTATGGGTGATGGTCACTCATTGGCCCAACAGGTGTCTTGTGTTCAAATTTGGTGTCAATTAGTCTCGTTGTTTTTGAGTTATGTTAATCCCACAAACTAACATTACATTTTTATTTAGAGTAGGCGTCCCCTGCCACACATTGCTGTGGCCGTTTGTGTATATGCGTTTTCTGTGTGTATATGTGTACAATGTACATGTGTGTGTATGTATTTGTGTATATGTGTATATATGTGTGTTTACATATGTGTGTGTGGTTTTGCGGATGCGTTGCAATGTAATTTTTGTTTTTTGGCTTTTTAAGTCCCTTCCACTGTGTTTTTCAGTGTTTTTATGAGTGATGGTCACTCGTTGGCCTGATAGGTGTCTTGTGTCCAAATTTGGTGTCAATTCATCCAGTGGTTTTTGAGTTATGTTAATCCCACAAACAAACATTACATTTTTATTTATATAGATTTCTCTCTTTTATCTCCCTTAATATCTCTCTCAAAAGAGAGAGAACGGAGATATATTTCAAAGAAGATGAGATAAATTAACTATAATATAGAGGAGGCAGAGAAAAATCGAAAGAAACAACCAAAAAATGAAAAACTTAAAGTGGAATTACAACTTCTAAACAAACAAAGAGAGTTCTTGGAGCTGGATCAGATGACGAAAAAACTGAAATATGTCAGACAAGATCACTTCCAGAATGCTAACAAACCGGGGAAGTGGCTGTCGAAGAAAATGAAAACAAAGAAATATGAATAATGCATTGTACAGATTATAAATGAAGAAAAAATATACTCAAAAGACCAAGAAATTGCAGACCAATTTTACAAATTCTATGGGAAATTATACAGGAAGTGTTCACTTTGCCTTTGCAAGATACCTTTCAGCTATCCCATCTTAGAGAAGACAATCCTGATTAATCCTTGATCATGCCACTTTCTCAACTGCTTTAAAATGTCTCAGCTTCTTTCTCCTCCTCCCACTTTCTGTCTTTGTCCTCAGCTTTCTTCAGTTGCTGCAAACTGAATTTGTAGCGCAAATGTAGTTTGCACTCAACACAGCAGGGAACAGAAGAAAGAAGAAGACAAAACTTTGCCCTTCCCAATAGGTTCAGGCAAAAGCAAATTGTTGCACTTTCTTCTAAGTTATGTTTTCTTCCTCATTAATACCATTTGCTATCTCAACTACATTCTGCTATTGCTCAAACACGTCCCAATTTTCATATCTGAAATGTCCCAAATGTGATGAAATTATAGTTTACCCATGCTTTAATTGCCAACAGAAAGGATCTCTTTCTTCCTACACAACTGGTGCCCAGTAAAGTAGGCTGGGGGGAAAGGGGGGAGAAGTTTAGATCATGAAAATAGTGCCAAAGGTATAACGAATACCAAATAAGGAACCCAATTTGATCTGAGTTTAGACACTGATTAGTACTTGATCAAAGGGGCCACTGAATGTCAGATACAGGCCCGTAGCCAGGATTTTGATTCGGGGGGAGAGGGGTGTGAGTTTGATTAAATTTATTTATACCCCGCCACCATCTCCCCTCAGGGACTCGGGGCGGCTAACATGAGGCCAAGCCCAACAAATACAATAAACAAGTAAAATACATGGAGCAAATAATAATTAAAATTTAAATCACAGTAAAAATTGAAATCGAATACAGCAATAAAACAATAACATACAAACAATAAAAGGAAATTAACATAACAGGATAGACGAGGGTTGAATGAAAAGTAATGCCTCCACCTTCATAACTCCTCAACAGATGGGAAACCTTAGCATTGAACGGTTGTGTTGTTAAAGTGCAAAGTATGGAACCCTGTGCAGACAGTTGGTCAATGTGACTTAAGCAACATGCAGTCATTGAATTCTTGACAGCAGAAGGTGTCACCCCAAAGGAGATTCATCAAAGAATGCAAGCTGTTTATGGTGATTGTGTTGATGTGAGTACTGTGTGTCATTGGGCGAGTAAGTTTAAAGATGTTGAGGTGACACCTTCTACTGCCAAGAATTCAATGACTGCACGTGGCTTAAGTCGCATTGACTATTTGTGCAGGGTTCCATACTTTGCACTTTAACAACACAACCGTTCAATGCTAAGGCTTCCCGCCAAAATGGAACTGTAGAGGAGAGTCTACTGAACAAGCCAGTACCTGCCACATACCAGTACTGCCATCTGTTGAGGAGTTACGAAGGTGGAGGCATTACTTTTCATTCAACCCTCGTAACTCGGGTATGAAATAAAATAAGATTAGGGATAAGGAGTTAATCAGAATGGGCTGTGCCAAAGTGCAAAGAT